GTTGCTGCCTGTTCGTTCAGAAAAAGTTGAACGCTCGGCTAGCACAAATTAGTCAGAAAGCGCAAATGGGCCAATTTATTTCAAAGCACTCTATACATTCGATTATCGTCTGATAAGCTCATACTCTACATTTGTGTGCTGGAGAGATCGTGACGACTGATTTTATCTAGATCCTGCGTTGACCATTAGCTCCAAAAAAGCTCATAACTCGGCGCCCAGCGGCACAGCAGATACCAAAGACAGATTTGAAATCAGCGACAAAAGTGCAGTAACCCCCTTTTGTATGGTCCATAGGTTTTGCAGGAAAATATTGAAAGTCCGTTCAAAAATGTTTGGGAGGATATTTCAACTTTATTATAGACTTTTTTGAAGATAATTCGAAAGGAACAAAATCGGCTGATGAAAAAAAATTGTATCTATTCGTAGACATATCCGACCAGGACGAGTTTCTCTCGTTCAAAATTCCTGAATAAGAGGAAAGAGGTTTTCAAAGGCTTTCACGACCCACTCTTAAGAGTACCCATTAGCTCAATTCTAGTAAGAAACCTCATTCAAAAGTAAAATGACTACTGCTGGATCTTCTAGCATTTCTGTAAACTGAAATCGGTAAAATACTATACCTGGTAAAATATTAGATTAGTAATTGGTAATATAGTAAATTTGACTACCTCTAACAGCTTGTACGTCCGCGGCATGCAAATATGGTATTTTTTGCTAAGAGAGCATCTAGGAAGTGCATCATTTCTTTCTAAGCTATGTTGAATTCTTGAATACGATCTCTTTTGAACTAGAAACTTACCTTTTCATGAAGTAAACCAACATTGCCAACCTTGCTTCTTTTGAAGCTTTCCTGTCAACTGCTGATGAGGAAGGACAAGGAAGCTGCACATCCGGTATAGTCCTAAGGTCCGAATCCGGTTGTGGGTTGAAGCATGTACCTGAGTTTGTTTCTTGACTTCTAGCATTGGTAATACTTACACATATCAGCTTCCTTTGTTTCGTTCATAGGGAAAACAACAATTTTTTGAAAGTTGCAGCGCAAGGTTTATGGACCATCATAATGTAATACATCCAAGCTTGTACATTTATCCGCTAAATCAAACCCCTCCTCCGCGAGATCTCATTGCGTAATGGCGCAAATACGGATAACTGCGACGGCAGTGCTAATCAGGGCTGAAGAGATCACTCTTCCAGTATTCCCCCGTACATGGGTGTTTGTATGGTAGGATTTCTCCTCCACCTTCTTGCTCCCTAATGCACAATGTCTGAGATTTGTCGTTTTTTTAGAGCCAAGAAGAAGAAATCCGACAATTAACTTTGAATGCCGCTCCAAATTACATCAAAGAGAAGGAAGAGCCGAAGCTTGCACCGGAGCATACCATCTACAATTACGACTGCGTGAAAGTGATTTTTGAACCTATTAACCAAATCATTCGAAGAGTTTTGAAGCTTCAGTTTGCCATAATCAAAAACTCCCTAAACAGCAGGGAATTTGATCATTAATTTTTCCGAAATTTTTCATCTGCTAAAGAATCTATTCAACTGTCAAGGGTGTAGGGATGTGATTTTCAAAAAAGGTAGATAGCTCACTGAGGACGCAATTGAATACTCTCAAACAGTATATTTTCTTAAAATCTCTACAAAAACAGCAACTATCCAAAAATAAAGCTACTGATGGAAGTCCAACCCATAGAGAAAACCTAGTCCTTCTTAGGACTTTGATCAAAGCATAAAGTTACCACTTCTTTAATTTGTTATCATTTCATTCAGAGTAAAAAAGATCGAGAGAAATTGGCTGTGCTCAGCTGTCCACATTCCGTCGGCTTCCATCCGGATCGTCTTGCTATCGTCGATTTGGATGAAAGCAGCGAAAATTACTGCAAGGTATGATCCGATTTAGTATAAGCAGCTTCAACTGCACGTTAAGTAGAACTTTCGATCTAACAAATGAGTAGGGAATCTTTGACGTCTCAAAAATCACAAGGTGTTCACGGTACTATAGGTGAACACCTCAGAAGACTTTTAGATCACTGAGCCTTCATTTCGGTTTTGATGTCAATTCGTGTTCAGTGCGCTGACTTACGGAAATGATGTTTTTTAGAGGTAAAAGCAAAAAACTTTTTTATTGAGATTTCGGTACAGAAAAGTCAGTGAGTTGAGTCGCGCAGCCTAGTTCACATTTAGCTATAGTTGAAAACCGTTGAAATTGACATATGCTCGAACAACTCACCAGAAATTCCGCAGGACAAGCAGAATTATTCACCGATTCCGCAGGACAGGCAGCATCTGCAGCGGTTCCGCAGGATTTTGTTTACTAACACAAATCGTATGGAACTTCCGCAGAATTTTTACGTCAGACTGATAGAAAACGTGAACTTCTGCAGCACCTTTTACAAAGCTACGGAAGTTCTGAAAAATGAAAGCGGTTCCGCAGCATCTGACCTGCTAGTACTTCCGCAGAATTCTGCTTTCTACGATGTTGTCCCACCGTAGAGTACATTATCGAACATATATAGGTACGTAGTGCAGAGCCTAGTGCGGATCTCGTAGTCACTGACCGGAACTTCCGCAGAACATTTAAGAAAGTTGCTCCGGGTCACCTGCGGAATG